CCCATCTCCCTGCAAATTGTTTGTTGATGAGGGGCTTTAATTGCTCCAGAGCTGGTCCTGTGGGTACAGCTTAATTCCTGTGATCTGACACCCCTGTGTCTCTGAGCTGGGCTCACTCCAGACCGCAGTGAACTCATTTAAGGCATTAACTGTGGTGGCAGCAGGCATGAGCCTTGTGAGAAATGCTGGTGGGTGACATGTGCACATCAGCCCCAAAGAAAGGTTAATTTCATTCATCAGGAGATGTAATTAAACCCCTGTAGCTGGGAGCAGTTCTTCTGGGCTATACCACCTATTATGAGCATTTCAGGAGCCGTGATTTCTGTGTTTCTTCTTGCTGTTCAAACACTAGAATAAATTAAGCTCCAACAACCCTGAACATAAATAATTCCTATAACATTGTTTTTTGGTCACATCTTGGCCAATCATTGTTATTATTTTCATAATTATGCCATTCTCCATCTGCTTGATGGAGTTAATGTCTCACTTTGTCAGTCATTGGCCCATCTTCCTTTAGCATCTCAGTAATAGGCAGCCAGAGTACACAGAAATTAGGCTATTTTCCAGGCATTTAAATGACAGCTTTAGTGCATGTGTGTTCAATTTTGTGTGCATTCATTGACTGGCTCCTCAATTCTGCCTCATCAGGGAAGATGCAGGAGGGGCTGAATCCTGCATCTCACCACACTTGGCGGTGCATTTGAGCACAGCTGCAGAGCTGTGATGCAGCAGAGTGGGTCTGGTCCTTCTGGCTCATCTTCTCCCCCCTAAATATGATACCCCTCCCCAAAAAGCAAAATCAAGGAAAGCCCTTTTGAGGTATGGCTACAGGCAGACAGGAGGGTGCAGAGCTGTACTTTGCAGAAGCCAAGCCCCTCTTTTCTCATTTAGGTGATAATATTGATAATTATCAGTTATCATCGCTAATAGCCTGTGGCTATTGGTAATTGCCCCCACCCCAGCAAGAAGTGGGGTTGGGGTAAAGTGCTGTCATGTGTTTGAGTGCTCCCAGAAAGGACCAGCTCTTACTGCCCCACATTTTTTAGGTAGAGAACAGCCCACTGTGCTTTTCTTCTCCTACATTTTCTATGATCCAGCCTTGTCATTCAGGAGTGAGACAAAAGAAAGGGCAGGCCCCTATCAGGGACTGCAGGCTGGGTGGGGGAGCAGTATTAAAGTGCACTGCTCGTCACAGAGCAACTCAGCATTGTCTGGAAAACCCACTGGAAATCTGGGCAAGAACCCACCAGAGCAGCCCACCCTGACCTGGCACCCTCCTGCACCCCGTCAGTGGGGCAGGGCAGGCAGGAGATGCTCCTCAGCCTCGTAGCACATTAGAGGGGACATTACCAGCACCTCTGATCTTACTGTGTGGGTCCTGAGCACGGGCAGGTTCAGATGGACTCAAATTAGCCTAGATATTAGGGAAAATTTCCTCACTGAACGGGTGGTCAGGCACTGGAACAGGCTGCCCAGGGAAGTGGTGGATTCACCCTCCCTGGAAGTGTTCAAAAGAATATGTGGATGTGACACTTGGGGACATGGTTTAACTGGGTTAATGGTTGGACCTGGTGATATTACAGGGCTTTTCCAACCTAAGTGATCCTGTGACTTTATGAATAAACCCAAGGGAAACTGCAGTGTGGTTCAGCCTGGTCATTCCAGCACAGCTCAGTGGGGCTGTACAAATCCTGCCAGATGTGATGTCTCCCCAAAGCTCACTGTGGTGGCTGAAGCACAGAACCAGAACAGCACCCAAACTGGCTCAGTTAAAGTTGGTTTGAGTAGTTCTGCCCAGGCATTCCCTAAGGGAGGAACAGTTAATTATCTGTTCTGCACAGCAGTTTGGATAGCTGTAAACAGCCGTGCATCCTGCTCAGTGCATCCGTGGTAATGAGCTGAGGCCGTCGCCTAATTAATATTCCAAATATTCCCAAGTTAGATTGATATACCGTAAATGAACAGTGTCAGATGACAACAGAAATCAGATAAGGAGCAGCTGGAAGTGATCTGCTTGTGTTTAAGATCTAGCACTGCTAGAAAACTGCTTGTGTTACCAGCAACTTGAAAAAAAGTTCAGGGATTTTCAGAGATGCTATTGATGATGGGTGAGAAGGGGGGGCTCATCATCTTGCTCCCCAGTAGCCACTGTGAGGAGCAGATTCTTCATTAGCACAAGCCATGATCACTGTGCAGTGTGGTGCCAACCACGTTCATTAGCTGCCTGTAATTGGCCTGTGGTTTGGAAATTGCAGGCAGGGTTAGGGGGCAATGTCTGAAATTCATAATGCAGTGAGGAGCTGGGTAGCTGAGCACAAAGGTTTGAATTTCAAGTGAGGATGCTCCAGCTTAATGAAAGGTAGGATTTCTCCAGTGATTACCAAGGGTTAAAATTTGTAGGTTTCCTGAGCAAACCCCAAAATCACAAACTGCACCACCTGCACCCTGGTGACAGATTTGCCTATTTCTCTTAGTTATTATCTGTCTTGGCACAGGGGTTACAGTTCATTTTTGTCATGTTATTTGTAGAGTGTGGATTTGGTTCCAGATCTCTGATCACTAAAAGATTATTTGGTTCAATGCTGTGGTTTGTGTTGTGTGTGTTATACTTGCCTTGAACCACAGTCACGTTATTTACTTCACAAGGAGATGCTGTGTCCCCTTCACACTGAGTGGTTAACAAAAGTTTGAAGGCTGGCTGATTTGTTTCTGTCAGGATGAGAAAGCAATGATATGTAGCAGCTACATTTTCTGTGTAGCCTTTTTTTAATCATTCACACACACACCAAAAGGAAAACGCACATCTGTCTTGTTTCCTTACGCACGATGGAGATAATTCCAGCAGATTCTCCAGCCAGAAATCAACATGTCTGCTACACCGGTGAGTGCTGTGACCTGAAAACTAAACCTCTCAGGTCCCAATATATGTGATTTCTCTCTGCTTTCTGCCCCTGGCCCACGCAGCACTGAGCAGGAGGGTAGAGCTCTGCCCTTTCCTGCCTCCTGCCCGCACCTCCTGCAGTCTCCCAGACTGCAGCATCCCCCACTGATGAAGGTCCTGACTGGCAGAAGGGCTCCCTGACAGGCTGGCCAGGCAGTCCAGATTGCCTGGCAGAGACCAAGTATAAATCTGAGTGTCATAGAAAGTCTTCAGGATGCTTTTGTACCAGATCTTGGAAAAGGCAGCTGGAACAGGTTGTTGTCCCATATGGCCCCATTTAGAAGACAGGATTTCTTGTCTCTCCACAACATGACCAGCCCTGAAATATACTGGTTTAGCATCATTATAGGCTACTGAGGACTGCTTGTCTTCTGATAAAATATATTCTGTTCAATAATGAATATATATCTACTCTGCTCAGTATGTGTTTGACACTCGTGGGTTTCAGGGGTCTGTGACTGTTCCTGGGTCCAAAATATATCTGGTAGCAGCTATAAACCACCTGGATTGCAGGTCCTGTTGGGAAACAAAACAACTCTTCGGTCATTTACAAGGCATGGCATCAAAAAGAGAAAATATATTTTTGGTTTGGATGAAGAACCATTGCGGAAGGGAAACCTCTATGAGAGTAAAACTCATTGCAAAACAGGAAGAGGAAAATATTCCTTTTATGAAATGAAAACTCCCTGCTGTGGAAAACTATTGAGGCAAGTAGATGAGTAAGATTATGAAAAGGATTAGATATGGATTATCCAGGATTAAGGCAATGAACTCTCTTGGATAAAATTCACAAGTGGTTTTCATCCTGGTGTCTTTGGGGTCCAAGATAAAACTGTTATTTCTATGTAGAAAAAAACCCTCCCCTCTCCTGCATTGCAGGGACCAACCAATTGTTCGTGTTTTCTCCTTTTCATTCTTAAGAAAAAAACCAAAAACAATTCCCAAAGTGAACAAAGACTGAGTGTAAAGACCTCATAAATGTGAGAGGTGAAACAGCACCTGATGAGATGTGATGGAGTTGAATATAAGTTATGCACATGGGGGAAGGGGAGAGAAACCACAGTGTTACCTGTATGTGTACACATACATATAAATCTACATACATATATATGTGTATATACACTCTGATGGTCCTTAACCTCATTAGTCACCTGAGGAATGTTGGACTTATGGCAGAGAGTCCGTGTGGAAGTGTAAGTTTGGTGAATCAAACAGGTGAATCCTGTGTGAGGAATTACCAAGGGATAAACAGAGAACAAACCAGAAGATCTTGTTACAGCACTGAGCAAACCATCACCTGGCTCCCTGCTGCAGGATGTCCTGCAAGGCTGGGCAAGAGCCAGGAGCAGCTTTTCCCCAGGGACAAACAGCAAAGAAGCCAAGGAGTCCAACCTGGAAAAGAAAAGGTGGAGGGGAGGTTATGACAGAGCTTGAGGAAATCAGGAGTGGCTTGAATTGGGAAAGAGGTTTGTTGCCTCTTCTAAACACGTGCAGATCCAGAGCTTTAATCCACAGCATCATCTTTGACAGGGGTTCGGTCTTAAAGGAAGTTTGGAGCTGCAACAGTCCAGGCTATCAGCTCCACCCCTGTTTCTAATAAAAGAGCTGTGGCTTGGTTGTAGGCAGCGAAAAAGAATTTTCAGATGTTGCTGCTACTCTCAGCGGGGTGTAATAGAAACTCATTATCATTCACAAGTCTAACTTAATTACATTTTTTCTTGAAGGACTTTATGCCGTCTCAGTGGGAAGGGGGGCTCATCTACATACATTCATGGGCTGTCTTCTCAAACCTTAGTAATATCTATGGTAAATGCCTAAGGAAGGTGGGGAATTACTTTAGGACCTTCATTTGATCAATGCAGGCTGCAGCATGGATCCACCAGACCCACAGGAAACATCATCATGCCCAGTATCTGCACTGACAGACAATGAGATGTTTCCTTGCTCCTTCTGTGTTCGTTGCTTTCAGCAGACAGTCACAAAATCTGAAAATTAGTGATTTCCTCATTGGTCAAATCTTGAAGGATTTTCTGGGTTTATTCTTAAATTTCCTTTGCAGAAGGAAAATTTCCTCCACAGAAGGCTCGAGGTGCTAGTGAAAATTGAAAGAGCAGACGAAAAGACACTGAAATTCAACCCAAGGTGATCAAAGCACTCCTTGGTTAGCCATGGGTGATGTCTGAGAGTAACCTGGCACTGTGTGTAGGGTGGGGGTCCTTATCTCTGCATGGTTAACCAAGAGGTGCAGCAGACAGGTCTGGGGAGCCTTTCTCCGAGGCCAGCTCCTCCAAAGGCTGCCTTCTGCATCCGTGCCATTGCTCCAGGCACGCTGTGATCCACGGGGCACATCAGAGAGCTGGAAATACCTGAACACAAAACGCCTTTGAGCATTTTATTCACGGGTCAGCTGTTGGGAGGGTCAGCACCAGCTTCCCAGGGCTGCTCTCTGGGTCAGCCTGGAAGGGCTCTGCAGCCTGACCCCCGCCCAGCAATTAGAGCTGCCTGGCGGGGTGCTCGTAACCTGCACTGTGATGGGTCAGGGAGGGTGAACTTCACGGGCAGGCTCCGAGGTGGGAACAAAAAGGGAGGTGAAAGGAGGTGAACTCAGCCACATAATTAGCTGTGTAATTAAACTTTTTCCAGGGCAAGGAGCTCCAGGCCAGTTCTGCCTCCTGTGAAATGCAGCAACGCCTCCCACACCTCTGACTGGAGAGAAATAAAAGCAGTGCCCTGAAGTGCTTCCACAGGTAAGGAAGCAGTTGTGGTTGCAGGTTTAGCAAATGACTTTGGGGTTAAACTGGGAGGATTTAATCTTTGCTATGATATAGGGGGTTGCCTAGTAATGCACGTGGCCCCAGTGGGGGACAGAAAGGCTGAAACAAAGCAAAAGTAATTAAACAGAAGCAAAGCAGGCAGCACTTCTCTGCTGATAATCTATGCAAACGACAAGGCTTCTTGTTTGGGCAGTCAATAAACCAGCCCATTTCATTTTAGTTTTGTGTGGTTGCATGTACTGGCTGTATTGTGATAGAAACATTGCAAAGCATCGATTCACAGATAGAAATATATCTGAGCTGCTTGTGGTTTATTAAGAAGATCAAGATAAGTGCTGCATTATTGATCAAACCCCAGAGGGACACTTCCTTTTTTTTCTGCTTGTCAATGAAATCCCACTGTAATTATTTTTTCCCTTTTCTCATTCTTCCTTTCCTCTCACCCCTCCCTCATTCTCTGGGGATGCAGTAATGAAGTAAGCACAAAAAATGTCAGTCAGGACTGGCAATGGGCAGGAGAAGGGGAGAAGGGTCACAAGCAGAGACCCTGCAAGGAAAGTGCATTTCCCAGTGTGTACAGGAGTGCTAATGCTCTTCATTGAGGCTTAACAGGGCCAGAGGCTTAACAGGAGCTGAAGTAGCCTTTTTTGTTTGCATTTTAGAAATCTTTCACTGTGGATATAAACCTTAATTTACAGCATAATCAGGCCTGCCTACTGGGTCTTGTGCAGAGCTGGATTTACCAAGCACAGGGATTTGCTGTGGGAGAGGGAAGAGAAGAACTGGTGGTCCACTAGCAGGAAGAAAAAGGGAATATTTTCCCGTGGTCCTGCAAATAGACTGCTTGAAGTGTGTATATCAGTTATGGCCATGGTGCAACCGTTTTTGGGACAAGCACAGAAAAGACATTTCTTGGTTCTTGGCTGGACAGAGAATCTTTGAAACAAGAGCAGCATTTACTTAGGCAGGGCTTGATTAGAGAGCAAGATGAAGCTTTGATCTCCTGTGTCCCTCATTTTGCTCCCTGAGGGAATCTCTCACATCAGGACCCAGGTCATACAGAACTGGGCGGATTCCAAGGACACCTTGTCCTCTCTGTCCTCTTATGGCTTTGCTCCTCCTGTGAGCTGAAGGTCTTGTCAGCACTTCAGAGCAGGCTGACACTGCAGTTTTCTATCCCTAATTTTTGCATGTAGCCATGGGTACCTTGGTGGTGCTTTCCTGGTACACCTGGAGGATGGTCTCCAGCTCAATGATCAGGCTGGAAATTTCCAGCTGTATGGATCTATGATAAAGAAAAACATTAGACTTTGGGAGGATAGGCCAGTTGTCCTGTCCTTCACTGCAGTGTCAGCCTGAAGTGTCCCAAGGGGTCCTTAGAGCAAACCACTTAGAAGTTCAAGGACCACCAAAACTTTGGGTTGATTTTCCTTCTCTTTCTGCCTTTGCTTCCCATTACCTTCCTCTCCCAAAGACAGAAAGGAGCTCACAATTCAGGCCATTTATCACAAACCAGGGACAGCACCAGCTGTTGCTCTACAGCCTCTGGCCACATCAGTGCTGCTCTCTCAACTCTCATGCCAAGGCCTGGAGCCTGGGGCACCCCAGCACATCTGTGCCATGCTGCTGGGGCCACACAGGCAGCCAGTGACAGGTCCCAGCTGGCCAAGAGTCCTCACGTCTCCTGCTCCAGCCTCAGGGACAGTAGGATGGGAAGAAGCTTCTCTTGGTGCAGGGTTTGCTCATTCATAGCAAGTTTGCACATTGGTTATTAACATATTGGATTTAAAGTTGCATCTGGGAGAGCAGGCTGTCCTCCCAAAGCTCCTTTGATGACATGCTTGTACTTCTCCTCGTGGTTATTGCCTCCACTGACACGTTTCTGTCAGCCTGTCTTTGTCCTGGGAGCTAATGCTGGCCTGGAGGGGGAGGAGTGTGGATGCCATGTGCATTGCTGCTGGAAAGGTGATGCTCCAGCTTGTTGAAAACCTCCATTCCCATTCCCATGGACCTGCTTAAACACAATTCAAATGGCTTGTCCACTCAGAGGGTCTGGGACATGTTCCTGTCCTTTATTTTTTTCTATATCTAACGACTGGATGATCTTCAAGGTCTTTATATTTCTAACAACTGGATGATCTTAAAGGTCTTTTCCAACCTAAACAATTCCATGATTCTATATTCAATATTCAGTATCTTGTGTTCTCAGCACATTATTTCCTTCTTACACCCCATGGCTGCTGAGGCTGCAGCCCTGGGCTTGGTGAGCCCTCAGAGCTCCCACGTGTGGCCCTGCCAAGGGCTGCCTCTGCCCTGCAACTGCTGCTGCTCCTCCCACTGCCTCTATTTGTTGCTCAATTTGTACAGGCTGAGTTTTCCCACTACATACATCCCACAGCCCCATAAAATTTGAAAGACTTGCCTGGGTGTAATTGGGTTGTGTTTTGTTTGTATAACCAGAAGAACAACACAGTCGGGGGAGTAAGAGAGCAAAAAGTTGAGCATAACAGAGTTAGGAAGAGGCCAGAATTAAACTGGTTTGTACTTTTACCTTGTGCACATACCTGTTATGACCATCTTTAATTGCAGGGCCATGTTTAAAAGCTCCCTGTTAGCATTTCATATCCTCACCTGGAAGATGAGATGCTCTTACACTCCCAGGAAAAACGTCGCTGGCTGGTTTGGTTTTCTTTTTGCCATAGGAATGATTTTGTTTGTTTTCTGTTGTTTTCTGAAACACCCAGCTCATTTGGGCTACTTCAAACCCTTTTAGCCTGATGTAGGCACTCCAGATATAAAATTCTGACCTTGCAGAAAATTTGTCATTATAATCCAAACCAGGTCTGCTAAGGGTCACTTACTGGACAATGCTTCTGGTCCTGATGGTGATCCATGTGGCTGACAAATACAGTTTATTTACTTACAGAAGAAAAATACAGGCAAATATTGGAAATCTGGAGTTCCCCTCCTATTTGAGAAGTGACAGACAAGTGCTGGAGTAAACCAAAGGTCAGGAGCTCATAACATGACAAAGACCAATGGTGCTGCCCATCAGCCTTCTCGGATTTGCTACTGAAGTTTAAAAGGGTTCTGAGAGATTTGAGACTCAGTGGTCACTTTAAGTTTGTCCAATTGTCAAGGAAGAATGAGGCAAGACCCAAAAGCAGTTCAGGCTTTCTGTGGTTCACAACTACATTCCTGGTTTAGGTGGATGTGACAGGCAGGTAAACTTGCTCTTGCCCAGGCAAAATAACAACATTTCCTGCAGCAGCACCAGCTTTAGTTGCAGAGGTGGGAGAGGGCATGAATCAGAGAAGATAAATTTTATATTCAAAGGTAGTCTGGCAAGTTCTTATGGCACTTAATAGCTGGCATACTCCCACTGCAAGGGAAGGAGAAAGCAAATTCAATCATTTATGTTACAAAAGTCCCACTGCTCTTTATTATGTGCACAGATGGTGTCTCGGGAGCTTTGCTGGCTGGCAGTGCTCTGCATGCCTAATGCCAGGCAGGGAGCAGAGCTTTTCCAGCCCAGGTGACAGTGGGAAAGCTCTTTTTTTTCATTTGCTAGAACCATGTGGATTTCCAACCTCTCCCATTCTTACATTTCATTTAAACCAACCTTCAAGCAAAAAGCCAAAATATTCCTGCAGACCACGTTTAGCAGAGGTACAAATGAGAACAGATTATGCACCACGGAGGTGAAAATCTGTTCCAAACAGAACAACAAATAAAGAGGTATTGCAGGACATCTGATGGGCTGGGAAATGGAGTTGCTCTGTCTTAAATCCTTTTACACATATGGACACTTTTAAAAGGTAAAGCGGAGAATCAGCTAAATTTGTGGAAATATGTCAACTCTGGGAATGGAATGATCTCACCCAATGCCTTCTTGTTTTTTATGAAGGCTTTTCTTTTCTTTTTTTTTGAACAGCAACACCTTCTGTAAGAGCTGCATTTCTGCAGCTATTTATAAACAGCCCTAGACTGGCCTTTTCTAATCAGTGCCATCTTTCTTGAGCTGACCACTCTTTGCTGCAGCAGTATATCCATCACCTTGCTTTACTTCCCTGCTGCCTGGCTTTGGGATAGTGTTCTTAGTAAAAGTTACAGGAGCGTAGAAAGGTCAGATCTGCTCAGCCTCTCTTAACAAGGGCTGCACTAAGACTACCATTTACTTTAAGCAATAAAACACTCTGTAGGTTTATGCTTTCCCCCTCCAGCCTAAAGCTCTTCCAGCACTTAACAGCTATTGTGTTGTGATATACAGCACCACTAGGACACAGCAAAGCACTACCCCAGGTTCTCAGGTAGGAGAAAAATAAAGACCACACAGGTCCCACCTGGCTATTGAAAGTCACAGATCTTATCTCAAGAAATGCTTTGGGACAGTAGAATTTAACTCCAAGGTCCTCCAGCTGACAGAATTTGACATGGATCCATCTGATTTCATGCTGATAGAAGAATTAGTGTCAGCTGAAACATTTGGAAGCTGTTGGTTTTTTGGTTGGTTGGTTGGTTGGTTTGGCTTTTTTTAAGAAAAACCCAGAGAAGATAAATACCATTGTGCTGTAACTGAGGGGCTTTTTCGTTGGCCTTACTTGTGTAGGTTGTGTGTTTTTGAGTGAGAATGTGCTTCAGAGCAGAAGCCAAAAAGGAGAAGCCCAAGGTAGGAGGAATAAGAGCAGATATTTCACTTTCAATGCACATGCCTGGAGTGCCTATATATTGACTGTGTTGGAGGTTGGGGGTTTAATGTGTGTGACATCTATCAGAGTATGGGCCAGCTGAGATGCTGACTGCAAAGGATTTCAGGTAGAATGGCTCCCGTTGCACAACAGTCCAACTGAAAACCAAATGATTTCACCAAACCACAGTGCCTCTGAGCTGCCTTCATCTCCTGCAGCTGGGCCAAGGTAAAAGTGAGTTCCACGGGAGCACAGCTCAGGGGTTCTTGATTCACCAGGGTTTGT